TTTTATTCAGGGTGCCTTATCATTGTACTTCATTGTGAACAGACTGACCTACATACAACAGACTGACCTACATATAGTTGTATTCAGTGTGAGTTATCGTACTTCATTGTGAACAGACTGACCTACATACAGTTGTATTCAGGGTGCCTTATCATTGTACTTCATGGTGGAAAGGCTGACCTACATACAGTTGTATTCAGGATGCTTTATCGTACTTCATGGTGGACAGGCTGACCTACATACAGTTTTATTCAGGGTGCCTTATCATTGTACTTCATTGTGAACAGACTGACCTACATACAACAGACTGACCTACATATAGTTGTATTCAGTGTGAGTTATCGTACTTCATTGTGAACAGACTGACCTACATACAGTTGTATTCAGGGTGCCTTATCATCATACTTCATTGTGAACAGACTGACCTACATACAGTTGTTTTGATGGCGCCTTATCATCGTACTTCATGGTGGACAGGCTGACCTACATACAGTTATCATATTATTCATGGTGAACAGGTGCCTTATCATCGTGACTTCATGGTGGACAGACTGACACTACATACAGTTGTATTCAGGGTGCCTTATCATCGTACTTCATGGTGGACAGGCTGACCTACATACAGTTGTATTCAGGGTGCCCTATCATCGTACTTCATGGTGGACAGACTGAACTACATATAGTTGTATTCAGGGTGCCTTATCATTGTACTTCATGGTGGACAGGCTGACCTACATACAGTTGTATTTAGGGTGCCTTATCATTGTACTTCATGGTGGACAGACTGACCTACATACAGTTCTATTTAGAATGATTTAGGGGACAGACTTACATCATTGAGACTGACTTACCATCAGACTACTCATGGACAGACTGACCTACATACAGTTCTATTTAGGATGACTTACCATCAGACTACTCGGCGGACAGACTGACCTACATACAGTTCTATTTAGGATGACTTACCATCAGACTACTCGTCGGACAGACTGAACTACATACAGTTCTATTTAGAATGACTTACCATCAGACTACTCGGCGGACAGACTGAACTACATCTATTTAGACTGACTTACCATCAGACTACTTAGCGGACAGACTGAACTACATACAGTTCTATTTAGAATGACTTACCATCAGACTACTCGGCGGACAGACTGAACTACATACAGTTCTATTTAGAATGACAGACTCAGACTACATACAGTTCATACAGTTCTATTTAGAATGACTTACCATCAGACTACTCGGCGGGACAGACTGAACTACAGACTGACAGTTCTATTTAGAATGACTTACCATCAGACTACTACAGACTGAACTACATACAGTTCTATTTAGACTGACTTACATACAGTTCTACATTTAGAATGACTTACCATCAGACTACTCGGCGGACAGACTGAACTACATACAGTTCTATTTAGAATGACTTACCATCAGACTACTCGGCAGACAGACTGACACATACAGTTCTACTTACCATCAGACTACTCGGACAGACTGACACATACAGTTCTATTTAGAATGACTTACCATCAGACTACTCGGCAGGACAGACTGAACTACATACAGTTCTATTTAGAATGACTTACCATCAGACTACTCGGCGGACAGACTGAACTACATACAGTTCTATTTAGAATGACTTACCATCAGACTACTCGGCGGACAGACTGAACTACATACAGTTCTATTTAGAATGACTTACCATCAGACTACTCGGCGGACAGACTGAACTACATACAGTTCTATTTAGAATGACTTACCATCAGACTACTCGGCGGACAGACTGAACTACATACAGTTCTATTTAGAATGACTTACCATCAGACTACTCGGCGGACAGACTGAACTACATACAGTTCTATTTAGAATGACTTACCATCAGACTACTTACCATCAGACTACTTTCGGGCGACAGACTGACCTCCACATACAGTTCTATTTAGAATGACTTACCATCAGACTACATACAGTTCTATTTAGGATGACTTACCATCAGACAGACTGAACTACATACAGTTCTATTTAGAATGACTTACCATCAGACTACTCGGCGGACAGACTGAACTACATACAGTTCTATTTAGGATGACTTACCATCAGACTACTCGGCGGACAGACTGAACTACATACAGTTCTATTTAGAATGACTTACCATCAGACTACTCGGTGGACAGACTGAACTACATACAGTTCTATTTAGGATGACTTACCATCAGACTACTCTACATACAGTTCGGACAGACTGACTACATACAGTTCTATTTAGGATGACTTACCATCAGACTACTCGTGGACAGACTGAACTACATTACAGTTCTGATTTAGATGACTTACCATCAGACTACTCGGCGGACAGACTGAACTACATACAGTTCTATTAGTTCCATTTAGAATGACTTACATACAGTTCTAGATGACTTACCATCAGACTACTCGGCGGACAGACTGAACTACATACAGTTCTATTTAGGATGACTTACCATCAGACTACTCGGCGGACAGACTGAACTACATACAGTTCTATTTAGAATGACTTACCATCAGACTACTCGGCGGACAGACTGAACTACATACAGTTCTATTTAGGATGACTTACCATCAGACTACTCATGACTACTCATACAGTTCTATTTAGGACTGATCAGACTACTACAGACTGAACTACATACACCTTTTTTTGGATGAGTTATTATCGTGGTCCTGGGCAAGTAGGCTGGCCTACATCTAATTTAGGATGCCTAATCATTGTGCTCCAGAAATCTCCAAGAGTCCAGTATTTAACTTCTAGGCCTTCACTGTCTTCTGGTCAAGGAGAGCAGCTAAATGGCTTCTGTCTCTAGAAATAAGTTGAGTTAATTATTTTCTTATTACACCTGATTGAGTTCCTGAAACATGACCAGAGATCAATTAAACCACTTTTACTCTCACTGTCATCACTCAGCATGGTGTAGGATGTGCCCCATAGGGATGCAGGCTTATAATAGGTCAGTACCAATGCTGATTATAGGAGACTTAATGATCAGGCTTGGTTCACTACATTTCATCAGCCCACCATTCATGTTTGTTTCTTATGCTTGCAGTTATTTGTTGTTTAACACCTTGATACCCGCGAATGTACAAGTTAGAATTGATCTTCAGCAACATAAGGGGCGACTAACGGGGTCGGGTGGTCAGGCTCGCTGACTTGGTTGACACATGTCATTGTATCCCAGATCAATGCTCATGATGTTGATGACTGGATTGTCTGGTCCAGACTGGATTATTTACAGACCGCTGCCATATTATTATTATTATTATTATTATTATTATTATTGGATATTTAGATAGCACACATATCCATGCACTAATGCATGCTCTTGGAGCTGGTATTTTTTCCCTCAATCATTGGATGTCAATCTCAACGGCATATCTTATTATCAATCTCAACTCCCTGGGGATCATACAACTCTTGTCGCCACAAGGCGCACAAGGTTTATGTGGCTTTCCCATCCTTACGAGGTACCCATTCACAGCTGGGTGGACTGGGACACATAGTCACAGTATTTTGTCCAAGTTTACTGCACGTTGCTATACCTGCAACTAGGCGTTTGCACGTATTCATGTGGCCACCATCTGGTCATTTACCAACGGATTCATGGGTTCTTTTAAGTGCACAGGGTTGTGTACTGTACACTAGGGGTTGTGACAACACTGAAAGAGTCTGCACACAAAGTTGACTCCAAGGTTTTCACACCCTGTCACAGGTGGGCTCGATCCCGGCACCTCATGCCTGCTGGATCACTAGCCTGGCGCCTTAGCCAGCTCGTGCACAACGCCCCTGGAATATAGCTGCAATATTGCTGAGTGCAGTGTAAAACTAAACTCACTCACTCACTCACTCACTCACATGTGTTTGAGATAGGTGCCACTGGTGGGGCAGGATACACACATCATGGTAGCAGTACCATTTGATAGTTACATAGTATTTATAAACAAATGATAAAGTCAGAATCATACAATAGACTTAAAGAAATTTCTCACGGTATGACAATGGTTTTAGCCACATTTCATTGTAACAATCATAAAAAAATGGTTAAATGCTTACTGACACATGTAACTCATAGCAACAACTTTAAAGAGATTTCTTGAAAAAGGTACGAAAATACATTCGTTAAATGCTTACTGATACATGTAACTCCTTGCAACAACTTTGGTATATGTCTGTAAACACCTAAAGAATTGATACAGAAATCATGACAATAGTTCCCACAGCTTATATCAATAGGATAACAATTACATGTATTCCAGTGGTCCTAGCAGGACAATAGAGTTTTAACTTTTCCAGGGGGATAGCAGCTATTCATTTCAACAGCTTTTCCAACCTGAAGGTTATCAATCAAGTTCTGGAAAACATGAACATTAACAATTTTGTCGTTCTGTGTGTCTTATACTTAGTGTTGGGAATTGGTTAAAATCTTATAATTGATGATTGGTTCATTACAACCGATCAATCATCGAAAATAATTGGTTAGCGTCATTTATGAAATTTTCCTGGTTATTTTTGTAAATAAAGAAAAAACATGTAGTTCTTTGGTGTTTTTTTCCCAATTGCACAAAATGCATTTGTAAATTTCACATCTTTAAAGGATGACTAGTATGTTAGGAACATAAATGTCTTGAAGTTTTTAAGATAAATTCAATCATTACATGGAACGAGCTTGTAGTGATTATGAAATGTAAATTTAATGACAGACAAAACCAGCCTTGTGAAAAATATTATTAATGCAAACAAATGTTCCAGAATTGTTTGTGTTCGATTATGAGAAAACATGATCGTTTGATTGGTTGTTTAATCACTGCGACCAATCTTCGATTATTTCAATTAATCGGACCACCACTACTTATACTCATAATTTAAATTAGTACACAGAACCATCATTTGCTAAATCATTTATTCAGTTCATTCAGTGCAACTTTATTATATACACAATGATAAAAAAACACTCAGATAAACAGTTTTATCAAATTATGCAAACCAATTTATGAAAACTGTCTGGGGAAAAAACATAATTAATCTCCTTTGATTTGTCATAATTGCTTTATTAATGAACATACTAAATCATGGACATTATGAAAATATCTTCGAAAAATGCATGTATGTACATGATTTGTCTTGATAGCAAACAATCTTTCTCAAATCAATACTGAAGTGATCTGTTAGTGGTCAAAGGTTAATACAAGGTGAAGGACAAAATGTCTGGTTAACCATGACCTACAACTTGGTCATCTCACATCTGATGCCTTCAGTGTTTTGGGAGCTGTATCATACTAGGCTAAAGGTCATTTCAAGGTCAAGGACAAATGGGCTGTTACATGATGACCTACAATCTGGTTATCTCACATTTGATGACTTCAACCTATTGTGAGGTATCCTGTACAAGGTCAGAGGTCATTTCAAGGTCAAGGACAAATGGGCTGTTACACGATGACCTACAATCTGGTTATCTCACATTTGATGACTTCAACCTATTGTGAGGTATCCTGTACAAGGTCAGAGGTCATTCAAGGTCAAGGACAAAAGGTACGATTCATCATGACCTACAACCTGGTGATCTCACTGGTAATGGCTTCAGAGCTATTAACAGTACTATACAGTGTCATCTGGGAGGAGATGACTTCGATATCATCGCTCACCATGCTACGTGTCGTAGACTGCGTCAGTTCAGCGTTAGACTGGGCAGCTTCCTGCTCCTGGCTTTCACCATTATGGTTATTGTTCTGTCCATTGGAAATCATACCAACAGCTTTCTGACTCCTTTTACGCGAGCTCTGTACAATCCTTGAAAAGCTGCGCGAAAACCTTGTCATGACTTCATGAATCTGTGCAGTTCTGTACCCATGGACTATGCCACTGATGAAAGATTTTGTCAGGAATATTGGAATAAAATACACAATGTTCCTCTCGGCAACCATCCTGCCCTTGAAATAACACACATCACAGTAAACAGCCAGGTAGGCAAAAAATGGCAAATAACACAACACCCACAAAACCATGTCGATTACTGCCGTTATCACCAAGGTGTGATATTTCTGAAACTTGGTACTATTCGGCGACAGGAAGCTGCGATGTGACTGAATCAGCGTGATCTTCTTCTTCATGTACACAGTGATGAGGATGTTCGACACAAAAATAACTATCAATATCAGAGAGAAAAACAGAAGGTAATGCCAAGGATGAAAGACGAAGAATCGCAACACATGGAACTTCCCGTTGGTCTGACACCATCCCATCTGAGGGAGAAACCCGATAACGAAGGACAAGTTCCACAGCATCACCATCACTGTGATCACATTCTTCTTGTCCATCGGATGTCCATAGTTCAAAGGTTCCGCAAGCTTCATGCAGCTGTCGATGTTCAGTGACAAAAGAGACAATCCCGAAGCCAAGGATGCTGTGAAGAACAAGCTCTCAGCCAGGAAGAAGTTCACAAGAAGTTTGTCCATGGACATATACATCACAATTTTGAAGAGTCCGTAAATGCCGATCAAAGAATCACTGACACACAAGCTTCGGATGAACACTAGGGTTGGACTTTTGCCTCCACTTGTGAACTTGGATGCAATGAGAACAACTAGATTACACATTGTTGTCAAGACGGCAGCAGTCAGGATCAAACTCAGTTCAACATTGGGGATTTGGGGAAAGGGTTCTGTAGTATTTTGAGCTGATTTTATTGCTGAGTGGACGGTGGTCAGATTGGGAAGCAGTGTTGTGCTAGAACCGTTTTCAGCCAAGGTTGAAGTCTGCAGGGTTTCTGGAGAAGTAATTTTAGCTGTTGAATTAATGACTGGTTGCACGTTAACGTCAGTTGGTGTTTCCCTGGTGTAACAGGTGGTATCGATTCCACATGGCATGTCTTGGAGGAAGGCACAAATGGATAAACTCAGTATCACGATGCTGGATAAAGGTCGTATCACACGGTTGTATGGACAGAACAAGAAAGTCTAACTGAGACTATTCCCGAAATTGCCAAGGGAATTCATAGACATATCACAACTATCATCTCATGCATGAGTTATCATCTCAGACAAAAATATGAGTACTGTTTATACATTCACTATGTCATCTTTCTCACAAGTTCTTGTAATTTTCTAACAATTTGTCAGTATCATCAAACACATCAAGGCCTAATAATGAATGCAACAGTTCAGTTTCAAATAACAAAACAAATATTAAGGAAAGTTAACCTATATTTACAATATCTGATCAATATCCACATCTTTCAGAGAAACTGTTCAATACTTGCATGTACATATCACTGGCACACAGAGCATAAATATGACGATCAACACAGGCAAATATATAAAAATGTAAAAAAATACTCAATATGCCGGTCACAAATACATATCAATTTCCAGAAAATAGGTTTTATCTGCATGCTATTAGCCTCATTCCTCATACTGACAACACACAGTCCATCAGTACCAGAGAAAGGATCTCATTGACAGACATCAGACAGGCATTAAACTACTCATCCAGATTACATCAAATGATCCTATCATTGATTCTCTTAGTCGTTACCACAAGGCTCCTGCAACAATTACCACACTAACACGATACTTACGTCCATCACATAACATTAGCTACTGAGACGACAGCACATAAGCCCTTGATTACGTTAAGCAAGATAACATGGGGGTTTCCAAAATTTCATTCCCAAAAGCCTGTTATAAATGATCGCTTAATGAAGGTGAAGTCTCATGGCAAGGTGCAAAGGTTTGCCCAAGGGTGATTCATTCGGAATATCGGTCATCGTGTTCTTGGTTGCGTGTCGAGGTATTTATTGAACATGGCCTCAGACAAATCGGATTTACTTTAACCTCAAATGGAAGCAAGTGTTGTCAACAATCTATGTATTTACTGACAGAACAATTCTAACTGATACATCATGAAGGTGATCATAACGGCAGACATCTACACAAGCATCATGAAATAGACAAATATTTTACAAGAAAATATAAACTTTAAAGACCAAGTCATTGCTATCTGAATAAACAACTTATATGTAAAAAATATAAATATTTCTTTCTATTGGATTTATCAAGTTGTCAAGACATAAATTACTATTTCATCTTGTAAAGGAACGTCACAAGTCATCATTATAGATCTGCTATAAAGTGGAGTGTGCATTATACGGCCCTCTCCTGACCTTGGAGGTATAGCTCCTTACAGGGACATCTACTTGTCAATTCCTGCATATAAAATTTGAGTCATCAAAGGAAATACTCTGCACAGTAAAATCTGAGATTTTTCGAAAACACCACAACCAATGAAACGGAATTCTTCACAGTGAAGTCTGAGGTTTTCGGGAAACACCACATCCAATGAAACGGAACTCTTCACACTGAAGTCTGAGGTTTTTCGAAAACACCACAACCAATGAAACGGAATTCTTCACAGTGAAGTCTGAGGTTTTCGGGAAACACCACATCCAATGAAACGGAACTCTTCACACTGAAGTCTGAGGTTTCTTCACTGCACCTTGACCGAAGGATTGCAACTCTTCACAATGCAGTATGACGTTAACAAAACAAACGATAAAACCTACAGAATATAACAGACTGTGACATTATACACACAACACCATCTGGGCTTCTCAGTAGAAATTTGGCCGTAGGACATTAATGATAACCAGCTGTAGAGCTTTTTGTGATCAGACAAAACGTGACATCTGGATCTCACAACAGGGAAGCCATGTTTCCAGGATAGCCTTCAGACAAGAGAGTACTTTTTCATTTCACACAAAAAGTCAAACTTCTGTGACCCTACTCTATACAGTCTCTGTAACGAAGTTTAACGAGTCATATCAATTCCACCCATCAACCAGGTACTTCTTGTGACAACTCTGTTGTATTACGACAAATACAATATTTCTGCCCGAAACACTTCACAAACTGCTGAATGTATCACAACAAACTCAGAATCATCTTTTGTCCATGTTATCATACACCAGTTTATATCCAGTGTTAAAATATTTGCTGGATCCGCAAACTATTACACATATACATCATCCACAGAATGTGTAGTTCATACCTTTCTGCCACTGTCATCAATGGCAGCCTGACATTTTCCTTTGGTTTAAATTCAAGAATGTCAACCTCCTCTACAAGCTATGCAAACAACCCAGTGGAATGTTTCATTTCCACAAACTACAAGCCTTTGCTTGTCATCTTGGCTGGACATTCACGTTCCCCACACAACGTCCTGTGATGACTTAAAATATTTAAACATTAATCTTGCAAACTTCAAGCTGATAAATAACCACACATGTGCAACTGTTTGTGAATCCAAATAACTGAAACTCTCCAATGAACAATCAGCTGTCTCAGAAAATCATCTATTAACACTCTATTAATCCTCAAATATAATAAAAAACATTGGCACAATCAGATTTTGATCACAAGGGTTCCTTGAACAGAGCCCTGATTGACTAGATCAACAGCGGCACATTATTATATAATTCAAATGTTAAAACTTTCTAAAGCTGATCACATTCTCACGTAAGTTTTCACGCTGAACACAAATCAGTATCCAAAGTGTATACAGTAATATACACAAGAATTGCCAGCATCTGTGATGGAACTTGATCCGTGACAGATATGTTGAGTGGTGGTCAATCCATGCTGCTACACTCACTCTATGAGGTTGTGTACCTCTAGAACAAAGTCCTCAGAACTTCACAAACACACCAGAACTTGCCCAGAACAGTCACGAACCAAGACTGATATCTCAACTTTGACAAGTGTCCAGAGTTTGTCCAAAAGTTTTGCAACGCTAAAACCCTGAGACTGTTTCATCAATAAGCACCTCCAGAACAGGATCGACACACTGCAACTTACATAACTTCGATCCACTTGAAACAATATATAGACCACTCCACTGAAAATCACTCTCCGCCGCAGCAGAAGTTCTTGACAGATTGATGTTTATAACACAGTCATATCAGTAATTTTCACCCCATTGTAAAACTGGTCTAGCCTGACACATATTCATTGGCCCAGCATGTTCTCATCGCAATCCCACCTGTTCACTCGCGCTAATGACAATACACGATTCACACTGCCTTCCGACAATCACACTCAGTACCTGTGTCACTTGGCCCAGGACCAATCAATACATGGCAGGATCTGCCAATCGACTGCCAGATAGCAGTGTCTGGAGTTGTGGACAGAAAGGTGTAATTAGAAAATGGCATGGCAGATAATCAGAGTTGGTCTCAGTAAAAGCTTCATGACCACACCCTGAGAAGACGGTCCAATAAACCGACCATTCAGTAGGTGACAGAAAGATAGCTGTAGGGGTCAGGTGGTATCAGATTTATTAATGAGATATTTCACAGCTAGATCATGATTCATATCTGCAGCAGATAATCAAGGTAAGTCTTATTGGATTTCAAATTAATACAGGCTATTGGAATAATATATCCATGTGGTTAATATTTCGATATCTTACCTGTGAAATTCATATTCATTTGTTGTACATGATCATATCTTGTACAGAATACCAGATTAATATTGATGATGATGGTCAAAATGAAGTTGGTTTCCCTGACCCAAGGTAACAGGAATATTTGGTCTCCTGGAACTGTTTTTATGATATTTGAACCTGAGCAAATATTTCACACAAGCTCATGGGGTTTTTTTGTGGACAAAGACTAAAGACAAAGACGATTAATCAAACATTATTTTTCTTCAGGAAATTTGAAAAGTATCTTTTTCGCTCATTTCTTGCAACACTTCCGTACTTTATAATGCGAGCAGTAAAAAATGTGCACAAACAATGCTCCCAGATAAGTGTGATTAAATGAATACCAACATATTATAGATGGTGTTTACATAAGAAAACACAGTCAGTGAGCCGTGTAATCGATCTGACGACAGTTACATTTCCAACACTCCAAAGACCCGTGAAGATCCGGGTTAGAATTGATCTTCAGCAACCCATGCTTGTAAGAGGCGACTAACGGGATCGGGTGGTCAGGCTCGCTGGCTTGGTTGACACATGTCATTGGTTCCCAATTGCGCAGATCGATGCTCATGCTGTTGATTACTGGATTGTCTGGTCCAGACTCGATTATTTACAGACCACCGCCATATGCCTGGAATATTGCTGAGTTGGCGTAAAACTAAACTCACTCCAAACCTCCAGCATCAGTAGATCTGATCTGATGAGATGGAGCCTATGTATACCATGCTTTAATGGTAGTTAGTGAAAAGGCTTATGTTATATCACATCTGAGACACTTCAACCATCAGCCTACTGTACCATGGGGTTGTAGTGATTGGGGGGAGTCGGATGAAGTATGCATGTAATTGAACGAGTGTGTGGCTGAGTGAATGAGTCTATGCATGTAAGTGAGATAATTGGCACTGGGCAAGTGCCGGTGACTTAACGACGATTGCGTGAGTGGTTATGTTAATGCATGATTGATTGGTCAAGTGGGTGTCCAGCTGAGAGAGTCTTTTAGTGTAATGAATGTATGACTGGCTGAATGTATGTGAGTGAGTGAGTGAGTGAGTGAGTGAGTGAGTGAGTGAGTGAGTGAGTGAGTGAGTGAGTGAGTGAGTGAGTGAGTGAGTGAGAGTGAGTGAGTGAGAGAGAGAGAGAGACAGCACATGACGGGACTCTTTCACCAGTTCTGTGTTAATTTTGCTAATGCTCAATGTCAATTTCAGAAACGTCCCACTCCAATTCTGGAAACAAACTGTGGCAATTTGGTAAACGATCAAAGTAACTACGATGGTATGTTTCCGAAACAGTACCACAAAAGTGAATTAACAAGTTGTCATCAGTAACGTACATGACAGCACAACTAGTAGGAGTGATAAAACCACAACCAAAAGCATCTAAGTGATGTAACAAATATGTCAAAAACGAATGCAGCAGACATAACGTGATCGAACACAACATCAAACAGGAACTTGCCATCAAACCCAGTCCCTCGAGTCAACTCTCAAACTTCCTCTTTCGTCTTGGTGTTTTATTAAGCTTCACGTGCTGTGTGTGACCATTGTGCGTATTCTTCAATTGACAATATGTATTGACAGTACATGCTGTTTTATCACCACGATGCTTTTATCAATCAGGAAAGAGTTATAACTGTTTTGTCAGTCCCTTTTCAATCAGTAATTTATTGATTACTAACATGACTTTTATGGCTGATGTGTTGCTTCCTCCCGATGAACAACTAGGTGCAGGGAGGGGGTTATGCTTTACAGGAAATGAGTTTTTTCGCTTGAAATCAGCCTAAAGGGAATGACTGAATTTATTATAAGAGATGAGTGAGTGAGTATGTTTTTACGCCGCTTTTAGCAATGTTCCAGCAATATAACTGCGGGGGATACCAAAAATGGGTTTCACACATTGTACCCATGTGGGGAATCGAACCCGGTCTTCAGTGTGACAAGCGAACGCTTTAACCACTAGGCTACCACACTGACCCTATCAGAGATGAGTGAGTATGATTTTATGACGCTTTTACCAATATTGCAGCAATATCATGGCAGGTGACACCAGACAGGGGCTTTACACATTGTACCCAAGTGGGGAATCGAACCCGGGCCTTCGACAAGACAAGCCAATGCATTAACCACTATGCCACCCCATCGCCCCATATCAGTGATGAGTACGGCTGAAGCGTCTTGGTCTTTTAGGAAACATACAAATGCACCCATCTGTACCTCTGTAAATGTAAAGGAAAGATGTAAGCTTGCTTACCACTACTTGATGCTATTGCAACTTGGTGAGTCTATTGAGAGAGAGTGAGAGAGTTTATTACGATAAAGGGGCCACCGGCCCATTATACATGTAAATTAGTGCTACAATACGTTGACGAAGCGCCACGTCATTCACATATACAGGTGTTATGTTTAATGCAATATTATAATGGACATTGATCGCATCAACATGATGAAAAATATTTGTTTCGTTTCTTCAAAGCCAAAAAAATATATTTAGCAAGATTGTTTATAATAACATTGTTTTTTGATGTGAATAATAAGATAAGCTTGTTGCAAAATGGAAAAACATAATACAATTCTTGCCAGAGATCTGACCGCAGGTCGTGATAAAATGGACATTCAAGACAGAAGTGTAATTCAGAGTCAATAGTAGGTCTAACACAGAATGGGCAGAGACGATCTTTGCGGTCTTTATTAAATATTGTGCAAAATACCACTAGTGCCTAACTATACCACTTGGTAATGGTAAAGCAGAAATGTACACCAGCTTACCTCAACTTGGTACTAATGCAACTTGGTGAGTCTAGTAAATAGAGAGCAAAATACCACCAATACCTTTCTATACCACTTGGTAATTGTAAAGTGGAAATGTATGCTAGCTTAGAACTGCATGCAGAGCTACAGATAACTTTTTGGGTCATTGAGTTATGTACCCGCTTGTCTTCATCTCAATTGGGTATCCTAATTTTCCTTTGAGTAACCAAACAGATTGTACTCACCTCACTCAGAATCAATTGGGTATTTTGCCTTTTTCCATTAATTGTTAAAATATAATAAAGTTTAAATGTTAGTGTTTGTTATTTATATTTGATCTGTAATATGAGAAACGATATGAAAGACTGCTAGTTGAGTGTTCATGTGCCGAAATAGAACATCTAAATATACCTCAGTTGATTTATCTATCCACTGGTACGCAAGCTAAGATTTGACAGTTTTCTGTGTACGCATATACGATCAAATTTATTGAGTATTTACAAAAATACAAGCGTACTTGTACGCAACAGACGTAATAGGAATTGAGTTTTCACATAAATATTTGCGTAACTTACGCAGATACGCAGCTTATCTGTACCTCTGTGCATGGTGCTAACACATCCAGGTGAGTCTATGGAATTGTTTTTGAAATACCATATGTACCTTTCTATACCCTTCAGTAATTGTGAAGTAGAAATGTATGCTAACTACCACTGCTGTGTGCTAACACAATATGGTGAGCCTATTAGAGGGGAAACAAAATATACAAAAGATGTCATCACCCATTGATAACTTGCCCATTATGTATAGTTATCAGCCATCACAGGTGCTAATTAATCCATTTGTCTCACCACATTCTGATGCTGATGGAATGGGTGACCACAGGGGAAATACACATTTTAATTGTCACTAGCACTAAACTAGGACATTGAAACACTGACAGATATTTGTTCCAAAAGATAATAATTTCAAGATGTATATAATAATCAGGCCAGACCAATTTTATTTCTTGTTTTATGGATCCGCCTGTCATATTTTTTCAAGAATAAGAAAAACAAATAAAACTTAATTTTCCCCGCTCAAAAAATAAAATCCTAATGTTTTTATTGGCCAAAAATGTAAACTTACAAGAAAAATGGTTTTTTAGATGTTTTTTGCCCCATATACACTTGAGATTATCAAGGATGGAATTCGACAAGATCATCAGTAATTATTTACAGAGTGTTACCATGTACCTGGAACATTGCTGAGGGCAGTGTTAAATAACAAACAAACATAATGTTTTTTTCTGTATTACATACAAACAATTATTTTTTCATATACTGGGCCATTTATGCTACATATTTTCAGAGACCCAGATTACTTCTTTGATTGGCATTCCAGAAGTTGAGGAGATGAAGAATGAGGAGATGAAGAATGAGGACAATTTCTATGGATATACAACTTCTATATTCTGTTTAGGTGACGTTTCAACATAGATTCTCATGTCATTAGAATGACTCACCCTTAATCTACAATCATTCCATACATTAACAGGGCTCCAGATAAATTTTCAACATCAGGAGTACGTACTCCTTACTGTTTCAATGCAGGAGTACTGGAAAACCTTAAAAGTACATTTAGAGTACTTAATGGAATTTAATGGAGTATCAGTAATCTTGTGTTTCGTTTCATATATGCACCACAACATTGCTACTCTTGTGTAAACAGGTCAATAAATAATAAAACAATAAATTTTTCAGATAAATACATCTGTAAATGATTCTAAGACCGTACACCATTGTTGTAGTGCGTATCTGCTATGTTTTCTAAATTATTTCCTACCGTATCGTGCACATTTTATATCT